ATTGTTATGTTGTGTTCAGCTGATATCCCTCGGAGACCTGTTCTTTAATCAGTGGAAATGGAGAAGCAGTAGATATGGGGTAGAGGGGATGTGAAAGGACTAGGAGGGTTGAAGGAATGGGAAGCTGCAGTCAAGATTTATTATATGAGAGAAGAATAAATAAAAAGAAAAAAGAAAAAGCAAAACTATTAACTCATGAAGGTTCATTCTGTATCCTGCCTCTTTGCTGAGTTTTTCATTTCTAGAAGTTTACTGGTAGATTTTTTTGGATCTCTGATGTATAATAGCATGTTATCTATAAATTCTTATAGTTTAATTTATTTTCCTATTTTTATGCATTTTTCTTTCCTTAATCTCCAGCTACTGCTTCAAGTACAGTATTTAAAAGGAGCATGGATAGTGAGGATCTCTGTCTTATTCCTGATTTCAGTGAGATTGCTTCATATGTTTTCCATTTAGGATGATGTGGGCTCTGAATTTCTCATATATAACTTTTATTATGTTAATATATGTTCACTCTAGTCCTACATTCTCTTTATTACTATAAAGGACTTTTATTATAAAGGAGGCATTTTGTCAAATGCTATTTCTGTATCTATTTATATAATCAAGTTAATTTTGTCTTTAAGTTTGTTTATGTGATTTATTACATTTATTGACTTGTGTATGTTTACTCCTCCCTTCATTTTATGGGTAAAGCCAACTTGTTCATGGTGGATAATCTTTTTGATATATGTCCCTATTCTGTTTGCAAATATTTTAGGGAGAATTTTTTGAATCTATGTTCATCAGGGATAATGGTCTGTATTCTTTTCCTTTCATTTTCTTCTCCTCTTCCCAATCCTTCTTTGTTTCTCTTTACCTGGTTTTGGTATTAGAGTGATATTGGCCCCATTAAAGTAGTTTGAGAATGCTCCTGCTCATTCTTTCTTTCTTATTTTGAATAATTCAAGAAGAATTGACAGTAGATCTTTTTTTAATGCCTGGAAGAAGTCTGTTGTGAATCTATCTGTCATTACTGTCAGTATGTGCTTCCTTAATAGAGCTACTCCATGAGTCCTGTAATAGGTTCCACGGTTTGTCCAGGTCACATTGTATCTGAGGTTTCTTTTTAATACCTACCTACACACTTTGTTTTAAATACCTACAAACTTTTCAAGAATTGCAAAGACTCCCTTTCTTTAGAGTGGCTTAAAAACAAAGTTCACATGGCTCTGAGTTTATCCTACCATTTCAGTTATATGCCAAAAATACAATAAAAAATCAGAAGATGAATAGTTAGCATAGTGGGTAGGCAACAAGATCTTTTAAATGTGGCATGTTATACAAACCTGAACTTTAAACTTCCCCATTCCTCCTTGAACAGTCATCATTAGAGGCCATCATGAGGGGCAAATCTTCCCAGAAAGCAGGGGGGTTGTACCTCAGCAGATCAACTGGTCAAGCTTGTTTCTGTGGCCTCCCTTTGCTGTTCTAATGCCAGTTTTCCATGGCACCTCACTCCAATACATACCTCTTCTCTATTCTCTATTATATCTTGTCTCCATTCTCTATTAACTTCCTTTAGTGGCTGCTCTTTTCTGAAGGGGGCTGTATTGTTAGCCCTCAATTTTATTTCATTGATGTCCTACAGACAATCTGCAATATTATTAATTTGTTACTATTTTCATCTTATAAAATATAATTTTATATTTAATTATAAATTCACAAATAGAAAGTGTATTTATCATATACAACATGGACATTTCAAATACATATATACTTTGTGGAGTAGCCAAATATGTCAGTCAGTTTTATGTTACTATAACAAAATATCTGAGATAGTCAGCTTAAAGGGACCAAATATTTATTTTGGCTTAGAGTTTTGAAAGTGTTTTAGCTTTCAATCTGAGTAAACTTGTTTACAGATGTTTATTCAGTGACCAAAGACAGAGGATGAATCCGTTACTCATGATATACCTCAACATATTTAAGCCTTGAGATCATAAGTCATGGGATAGTATTTACTCAGATATATATGTGAACTATGGACACATAGCTAGAATAGTTGGCATCTGTTTGCAAATTCCATGGACATGCTCAGGTGTGTAATGACCTGTTCTGTTACAAGAGTTAGAAATAGAATGTTCTACTCAATTTAGAACAAGCACAAGTTTCTAATGAACTTGAAGTTTTCTCCAGACTCCCCGCTTAGATGCTTAATGCCAGGCTAGTCTCTTCATAAAAATGAAAAAGACAGAATCAGGACTCTAGATGCGTGATCACTGACGTACTCTTTCCTGGGGCTATGCTTGAATGTCACTTGGAATTCAGGTGCTTGTCTGAGACTTGGCACCTCTGACTTGGAAAAGAAAGACTGCAAGAAGAATGCTTGATTTACTCCATTCCAAAACCTGACAGGCAACCAGTAAAGAAACAGCTTTGTTAATTTTTAAACGGTATTTTGAACAATCTTGTTAATATGCAATCTGTGCATCTCAAGAACAGCTTGTAAACACTTCAGTTATTGGTGATTACTAAAGTTTTACTTACAACTTTAATATCTCATGTAGTGATGCTGAGCTGGGAAATTTACAAGTTTTCTCCCACTGAATCCTCATGGCAGCCCTGGAACACTGTTATTTCTGTCTGCATTAGATTACATTGCCTTGGTAAGCAGAAGCCCCGGCAAATTCTGGAACTAGCAAATGCAATGACTCTGATTTCAAACACGGTCCTTAGATGTCATAGTCAATTAATACTTACATCACCCTGTGTTAATAGGGAGAAAACTTTGAAGTTAAGATGTACATCCAGGCACATCAGCACTGAAGTTCATACACCCATAAGGGTGATACTGGTGTCTCCTATTCAACTCTGTTCATCGATCTGTCCCATGAGACCTTAGATGGTAAAAGTACACTAAGTGAATCTGGTAGGTTTTTGTGGCTGTGATAAATGCCCGAGAGAATCAATCTATGGGGAGGAAGAATTAATTTATAGTTTAAGAATCTGGGCTCCATAGTCACTTGGCCCAATTGCCTTTGGGCCCATGATGAGACAGAACTTTAGTGTGTGCAGTTCATAAAAAAGGGGTCTATTTTGCTAATGGCAACTATAGAGCAAATAGAGATGAAGGAACAGGAACCCAATGTCCTCCCCATAGACATGGTCCCAATGATATAAGTAGCTTCCACTGGCACCTCCTAATAGTTTTATTACCTCATGATAGTGACATAAGGCCTCTGAGGGACACTTAGAATCTAATTGCTATACTACAGTTGTATGTTTATGGACCTGTTAATAAAATAGAATGGAATTAATATTCCAGTTCTGGATGAAAATCTAAGCTTCCAAGGACAGATGGAGTTACATCCATAGCAGCTCAGAACATGGAAAACACATAGAATCCGTTGTTCATCTTTCTCGAGGGAAGTATCTTAAATTTAAAGATAAGAAGACTCTGTACTGGGCTTGGGAGATGGCTCAGTTGATAATGCACTTATGACACTAGTGTGGGGACTGGAGTTCAAATCCCCAGATAAATGCTAGGCAGGTACATCAGGTGCCTGTAAGCCCAGCAGCTGGGGAGCAACAGATGGGGGAATCCCTAGAGCGAGTTGTCCTGCTTGTCTGATTTGTATACCCTGGGTTCAATTAAAAGTTCTCCCTTGATAAAAAAAAGTGGAGACCCAATACACTTAATATCAGCTTTTGACCCACACATAATATTCACACTCATGTATCCACACATTGCACCCATACATATGAAAACATGAATAGACACATGCACGCACACCACACATATGTAAAATATTAAGAAAAATCTTTACTAGAAGCTTGCTGAATGTATTTATCTTTAGCTGGTGACCCAGATAAAGGAGCCTATTGTAGTTTTAAACTACTAGTAGATTAATTGGGGTAGTGAAAATACTTAGACTAGATAATATACATGGTTGCTTAATATTATGAATGTGGTTAGCAGCATGAACTCCACTCTCCAAAATAATTGACCTATGTGAGTTGGTGCAACGCCCCAAATCCCAAACCCCAGCATGCTCGAGTTTGAGTCATAGTTCGAAATTCAAGAACAGCCTGGTCTACACAGCGAGGCCCTGTCTCTCTATAACATAACAAGGCAAAAAAAAATTCCACCCATCAAATTTGAAATGGTAATCTTACTACAATTATGGGCTAATAACAGCAATCTCTTCACAATATCATCCAATTAAAAGCAAAAGAGAATGTGAAGATATGCTTTGGTGCCACACAGGGACATCTAAAATAAACCAAAAGGTCATTGGGGAGGAAAATGGGAGGTCTGGGTACAAGGCAGCTAATGGAGCAAATGCACCATACCTCAAATGATAAGCACAGAGCAGATGAGGTCTTTTTTAAGGTTAACCTGCACTAAACCTTCATAAAGACAGGGGAGTCTTTTCATCCCATGAGAATGCAGCAAGATCAGGGCTTTGGTACAGCATGACTGCTCTCCAACTTGTAGACTGGAATGAGAGCTGCATAGCTAAGTATAGAACCAAGGGCACAAATAACTAGTGTCCAGGATACTGTTGTAACATCAGCTTGATCCAAGGGAACGTCGACAACTGCACAGAGTCTGTGAGGATAGATAGATAGATAGATAGATAGATAGATAGATGATACATAGGTAGGTAGATATAGATAAGTAGATAGATAGATAGATAGATAGATAGATAGATAGATAGATAGATAGATAGATAGATAGACAGATAAATAGGCAGGGGTGGATGCCAGGGCAGCTTCTGTATGTGAATGTGCTCAGGTATTCTAAATATGCACCTACAGGTCAGTATTCATGAATGATATCTGGGTGTGACATTATTCTCCAGACTCCAGTTTGAGCAACTAATAGGCACAGAGTATCCTGGAAACTGAGCAGAGGTCTTAGTTTCAGTAAGTTTGAGATCTTATCATAGGCACTTGGCTCCTGGAGCCAGTGAGAAAACTTCCCACCAGATGATCTTGTGAAGAGAGAGAATTTTATTTTAGGGACATTCAGGGGACACCAGGCAGTAGGCTTCTAGGCACAGGTACATGTGTAGCATTCTCACAAGAGGATGGTTCCTGACACCAGCAAATGAAAAGACTGCACTGAATGGAGTTCAGTGTTTGTTCATTATGTGTTTGTTGAAGAACCACTTTTCTGACTCATCTGGAGATCATGGGAGGAGAGACAACCTCTGCTTTGCAAGTCTTCTCCCCAGCAATTTGTGCAAAATGTGCTTGTTTTCATGATGGCTTCTGGCTCACCACCTGTCATAAAGAATAAATCACTGAGCTTGCATTAAATTTGTGCAGTAGAAACACAAAATTAATGAGAGAAACTAACAAGGACGTAAATGTCAATATTTAAGGGAGACGCCTAGTAAAAATTCAGATAGCCAAGAGTAGTGGGTATAAGACGCCTTTCAAGAGAAAGACAGTAATCAAGTTAGATCTCAGGAGGTTGTGACCAACCAAGTTTTAACTCATAAAAATATAATCATCTATTATAGTTCTTTAAATATTAAACATGCAATTCATGGCATATATGTAATATAAACATTTCCTCTGTATTTATTTTCTTTCTTGTAATTTGTCTTTTGACCAATATATTTTTCTTAACATAGTTCAAATTGTTAATTTCCCCTTTCATGGTTAGCAAGTTTTGTGTCCTATTGAAAAAACATCTATTTTGTTTTGAATTTCATTTTTAAATTTATTTTTTTGAGATGACCTGAATAAATCTCTCTTTGGTTGGTTTCATCTTTTTATCTATAATCTCTCTCTCCCTGTCTCTGCCACCCCTCCCCGTGTGTGTGTGTGTGTGTGTGTGTGTGTGTGTGTGTGTGTGTATAAGAGAAATGATCCATGATAACTGTTTTTCTTACAGGATCCTTCATTGTGTACCATTACAACTTGGAGGTTTCTTTCTGGACTCTATTTGTTACACTGGTCAGTTTGTCTTTCATTACGCCATACAACACATTTGGATATGTGCATATGTACATGTGTGCTTGTGTGTGTAGAGGTCAGAGGGCAAACCCTGTTTTTGGAGCTAGAATCTTTCCTGGGCTGGTGCTTGCTCACTTGGAGGGTGGCCAGTGGGCTCTAAGAATCTTCCTGACTCTGCCTCCCCAGCACTGGGATTGCACACATGAACTATTATTTGTGATTTTTTGTTTTCTTAAGACGCGGTCTTACCATGTAGCTCTGGCTATCCTGGAACTGACTGTGTAGACCAGGCTGACTTCAAACTCTTATAGATCTACCCAACTACAAGACCTCCTGTGCAAATTGGGAGCATGGGGGAGGGGAGAGGGATCTAGGAGAAAGAGGAGGGAAGAAGAGGAGGGGAGAGGAGGACATGAGGGAGCAGGAAGGTTGAGTCAGGGGAAGAGCAGGGGAGAGCAAGATAAGAGATACCATAATAGAGGGAGCCATTATGGTTTAAAGAGAAATCTGGCACTAGGGAAATGTCCAGAGATCTACAAGAATGACCCCAACTAACAATGTAAGCAATAGTCAAGAGGCTCCCTAAATGCCCTTCCCTGATAATGAGATTGATGACTACCTTATATGCCATCCTGGAGCCTTCATCCAGAAGCTTTCTGCTTCTAGTGGAAGCAGAAGCAGACACCCACAGGTAAACACTGAACTGAACTCCTGGAATCCAGTTACAGAAAGGGAGGAGTGTTGAGCAAAGGGGCCAAGACCAGGCTGGTGAAACTCACAAAACAACTGACCTGAACAAGGGGGAGCTCATGGACCCCCAGACTGATAGTTTGGAAACCAGCATAGGACTGATCCAGAGCCCCTGAATGTGGGTGTCAGTGAGGAGGCCTGTGCAATCCACTGGGCCTCTGGTAGTAGATCAGTATTTATCTTAGCATATGAATGGACTTTGGGAGCCCACTCCACACAAAGGGATACTCTCTCAGCCTAGACACACGGGGGGGGGGGGGGTCCTAGGCCCTGCTCTAAATGATATCACAGACTTTGAAGATCCCCGATGGAAGGCCTCACCCTCCCTGGGGAGTAGAAAGGGGATGGGACTAGAGATAAGTGGGGTCAGGGAAGGAGGGGACAGAGAGGGAACTGGTATTGAAATGTAAAACAAGCTTGTTTCTAATTTAAATAAAAAATAGAAAAAATGATCTACAACTGCTGGGATTAAAAGTGTGACACAATGCCCATTGAATACCTGTCATTTTAACATGGGTTCTTAGAGGGAAAACTCAGGTCCTTGTGTTTGTCTGTCTGGAAGATACTTTACCAAAAGCTCTTTCCAAGTCCCTAGTGTCTACATTTTTACAATAATTCTTAACAACTTGGGTTTCAGGTGCTTGGTCATTGTTTTTATTTTTCACTCTTCTCTTTTGTATTTTCAGACAAGTTTTTAGAATCAGCTTGTTAATTTCAACACCCTCCCAATCTGTTGGTATACTAAAAGGAACTAAACTGAATCTGGAGAAAAATCAACACATTTACAACACTGTACCTTTAAGATAATAAATATGAACTATTTCCCTGCTTGCATGTTTTTTATTTTATAGCAATAAGGTTTTATCATTTTTCCCTCTACTGTGCTAGATTTATTCCTAGCATATGGTATTCTTTCAATGCTTTTATAAATGATTTGCTATTGTAATTATCATCTGCTTGCTATTATATAGAAATGGAATTTCCTCTCTTCTTCCTGCCCCCCCTTTAGTTGGCTGAATCTATAAATGTGAAACCTGCAGACACAGAACACTAAGAATATTCCTATGTATTTCAAATGAAAAGTATAAGGCGAGAAACACAGTAACCAAAACCAAACCAAACCAAGACCGCAAAGTGGCTTTTGTGTGAGATGGATGTATTTACTTGGGTAAGAAGCTGAGCAGGGTCTGCACCTTTGCAGGTGTCTGGCTTGTATCAGTCTTAAGCTGCAGGGATCATCTATTCTGGACTGATGTCTTTAGGGCTATGTTTGGAACCAGTCCAACAGCCCCTGTGGGAGAGTGTGGATCAGGGAAGTCCTAGGTACCCAAAGGCTTTAAGAATGAGATAGAGACATCTTGTCAATTCAGGAGGACTCACAGTCCATACTGGAGACCATGGTTTATGTTTTATTCAAGCATCCTCTTAAATAGCTTTCCAAGAGTTGGGTAGGGTGTACTGGCAGAAGACATCTATTGTCACGTATAGAGCTGATATCAGTATTTCCTTTAATCCTCAGGAAAACCCTAAAGCCTTCTGGTATGTCCCACTCATCCCCAGGCACATCTCTAGTCCTCAGGATGGGTGTGAGTCCCCAGTCTTTTGTTATACAAACTAGAACCTATTCTCCACTGTGGCCAGGCCATCCAGAGGTAACCAGCCAACATCTAAAAGACAATAGGAGATTCGTGCTCCTGGAATTGAGCTGAGGCACATACCAAAATACCATATTTGGGACCGATACAGCTTCCTCCCAAGTGCTTGTTCCATGTGAAAAGAATTCATAGTGAGATTATACTTCAAATATTTAATTATTAATTGTTATTAATGTGTGTGTGTCAGAGTGCATCTTTGTCAGAGATCAGAGGACAACATTGTGCAGTAAGTTCTCTCCTTCCACTCTTACAAGCAGGTGGTCAGGCTTGCACCACTGTGAGACAAGCATTTTTAATTCCTGAGCCATCTTGTGAGCCCTTGTTATGTTTTTAGCCTAGAAGACTTACTTTCCTGTTAGCTTACTTCGATATTGCACAATGACTTTTCAACAGGCAGTATTTGAACTGCTTCTTAGAAGGCCTGAAACTCTCCCAGTGCCCCTGTGCCTCACATACTGGGCTACTTGCCAGTGATTTACTGGCTCATACTTCTTAGCAGGGACTTCACCACACAGAATCTGAATAATTGTAGATTACTCTCTTCCCTGAACGCTCCCACTCACCCCATTCTCCATTAGTGACTTTCAGGTGGCCCATTTCATCTGTGGTCTCAGTCGGGGTTGTCCAAACTTATTTCCACTCATAGGTTCCTCATGGAAGGGTTGGTATGCATTTTTCATCCTCATTTACACTTGGAAAGGACATCCTGACTTGGCCATTTCTGATTTCTTATTCTTTCTCCAAGGAAACAAAAATATATGAAAGAATTAATAAGTCAGAATGTCACCATCTCTTATCTTAATAACAGACCAAGGTATTTATTGTCAATAGCTAAAAATGTCAAGGAATGGGCTATAAGCAGATATCTTGAGCCTAGTGACAGAAAACCATGTCTTGGTAGTCTATGAACTTTCTTGTTGAAAGAATAAGCTTGAAGTTGATAAAAATATAGGTTTCGTGTTTAGTTCATAAGAGCTACAAAGGGAAGTACATTACTTGGATATGGTCAGCAAACGGAGAGCATATTAAACTTGGAAAAAACATGAACTTTAAATTGGACCAGCAAAAGAGGGAGAGAGCAAAAGATAGAAAGAGCAATAGTGGGAAGAAGTGAAAAATATATAGATGGAAATAGACAAATATATTTTAAATGAAACCTTAGCAGACATCCTGAATGGTTCAGTTTAAAATTTATGCATAGTTGGTGGTAGAAATTTTATGTAACAGGATAATTGGTAATAAATTTTCACCCTGATATTATTATTTATTGTTGTGAAAAATGACATTGGGACTGTTCTTATAATTAAAATATTTTTATTTTATGTGTATGATTCTTTTTCTTATATGCATTTATGTGACCATATGTATTCTTGGTGCCCATAAAAGTCACAGGAGGGTATTGGTGTGCTGGAATTGGAGTTACAAAAAGTTCTGAGCCACTGTGAGTGTACTGGAATTCAACTGGAGTCCTTTGTAACAGCAGTAAGTACTTTTAACACTTCTGATATATCTTTCCAGTCTAGGTTTAGGGGCACAGGAATATACAGATAAAAATAAGCTGGTAATAATTTGTGTGACACATACATATACAAATGAAATCTATTAGTTATTTTTATCTATGTATCTATTCTTCATATGCTTAAAATTAAATATTTGCTCTCTAGATCCAACCAAGCACTTGCTAGGTGGAGAGGTAGCTATTGCTGGGAACCTTAAACCAGAGATTGAAAATGCAGTTTCCTTTGATCTTATGTCTGTCTTCTTTCTCTTATGCTAATGGGACAATCATCTATCAGATTAGCCACTCTACTCTACCATCTTTCTTCTCTTAGGCTTTCTTCTCCATCACCAACCAAACTCCTCACCTTCACATTCTGTGGGCTCCTCTGATCCCCTCTCTGGTCAGTTGAGTTTTCTTTTTTGCTCTTGTCATTGCGGTCATTTAGCAACTTATCCTTACCTGAGCTCCTGAAGAATCACCTGAACAATTCATTTCTGTTCCTTTTCTTCAACATTCATTCATCTTGGTTTCTCCTTGAGGGAAACCATTTCCCATTCAATGAGTCTTCCTCTATGTATTGTGTGTGTGTGGTTTCCCACATGCCTGTTTTACTGCCTGCCTTACCAGACATGCCTTTTATTGTTTCTAGCAAGGGAGAAGATGGGAGCTGAAAGGAAGGGAGAGCAGATATTTCTCTGCCTGGGATTTTCATCCTGTTCTACAGGATGTGGTTCCTAGAGGTTCTCATCCTAAAAGGCTGGATTCAGTGATTGTAATGTGCTATTTAAGCAATTTGTGCTGATCCCTGTATTTTGGCATAGGGGTACAAAATTACTTTGCCAGTTTGCAAATCCAACCCTAAGTGCCAAAGACCACCTGCAGAACAGGTGGCCTATCTGAAGTTATTGATGTTCTGGCACTCTGTTAAATTTTTGTGAGTCTATTCAAATCCTTGCTAAATAGCTCCTATGATCCAGTGCTGTCTTAGGAACTGGAGGTAGAACAGCCAATAAGACAGCTCCATGAGAAGTCACATATGTGCTTTATATCAGTGTCTCCCAAAGACCTGCATGTTGAATGCTTGGTCCTCAGTTTATGAACAAATGGTAGGTGGGCCCCTTAAGAAGACACCTAATTGGAAGAAGGTAGGATTTAAGTGGCATGCTCTTGCAGAGGATATTATGACCCTTATCCCTCCTATTCCTCTTTCTTTCAAGAGACAAGCAATTAACTTTGCCTTTCAGCCTTAACATGATGCACTACTACACCCCAGGCTCCAAAGCAAGACAGTAGAGTGGACCTGTCCAGACAGGAAGGAGCACCCTGAGTGTGGCCACACCTCATCCTTGGCCCTCCCTCCACCCTCTGCCCTCTGCTTGAGGTGAGTGTGGGCTCTGTTCAAGCCCCAACTCCTTGCCATCACCCCCTCCTTGGATCTTCCTGGGCCTGCTCCTCGAGAAGAGTGGACCTGCCCAGACAGGAAGGACCACCCTGAGTCCTGTCACACCTCACTCTTGGTTCCCCCTCCACCCTCTGCCCTCTGCTTGAGGCAGGAAGGACCAGAGTCTAGACATCTGAAACAGAAAGAAACTGAGCCTTTTCTCCATATTAGAAGATTATCTTGGATCTTTTATCAGTGAAGGGAGGTTTACATTTTGACTCCTGAACCTGTACCTTAGTAAACAAGAACATTATAAAATGTCAAAGTGTGTGAGGCAAAGGTAAAGCCGGGAAAGGGAACTGATGAAGAGGTTATGATTTGTAAATTGTTACATACAGCTGAATAGCACACAGAGCTGAAGAAGTGACAGTCAAGAAAAGACACGAGTGCGTCAACATGATGATTCTTGTGCTTACAGGAGAGAAGAAAATTTCAGTCAGGGAGATTTCTGCAGCTGACAGAGACTCAACTTGCATGCATACTTCTTGGTAAAGAGGTTTGAAGACTATCGAAGAGTCCAGAATGGCTAGAGAGGAGAGAAGAAGACAGGGGCAATTGTAAATAAAATAGAGTGACTTAGCCTTGGCAAGACCATATGAGTTACAGAGAAACAAGATTTGAGTTCTGCTTTTAATCTTTTTGGAAGCTGTTGAGGTATTTTGAACAAGAGTATCCCACTGGTGACTTGAACCTAACAGATTTGCCCTGGGATGCTATGTAAGGAACAGATAATAGAGGAAGAAACCAGAGCCATTCAGTTAGCGGAGTCTATTAACAACAGTTCACAGTGAAGATGTCAATAGCTGGAGGGCAGGGCTATGGCAGTCATGGTACGAAGTGATGGATTCTAAAATATATCAAAGGCAAGGTAGACACAGTCACAAGAGACTAGCGAAGGTGTGAGAGAAAAACAGGGAAGGACAGGATCATATGTCAGCATGCTGACACACAGAAAATGACCAATGTATGTTTACTGGAGTTAATAAACGGCATGTTCTAATATATTATTCACCAAATTGAAATACTTGGTCTTTGGTCATGTCTTATATGACTTTGTACCCCCTCACCGTATACCATCTTAATACACATTAAGAGCCCACCAAATAGTCCTTCCATAACAGAATGCTTGTGTTAGTCTGAAAGGAAGGGGAGGAGCTGCTTTAGGAGTAACTGGAAGTAGCAGCTGCCAGCTACTGTGAGTCGCTGATTCTGATCCTGACAAGCTTCTTCATCTGTGTTTTTAGCCACAGCTCTAGCTCCTAAACTCACTCAGCTCATGGTAGACACCCATTCCAGCCACAAAGCTCCTGGTACTCATTCACAAGCTGGAAGTATATTTCAGACACATTTGGAGAGTTGATGTATACAATAAGAACAAATTAAGTTCAGTGGGAAATTGGGACCACAGCAGATGATCTGCTTTTAGTACGTTGCCAAGAGTTCAACCAAGAGGAAAAAGAGTGCTGCCATTGTCTTCCAAGAAACAAAGATGAATCTTGCCCAACATGAAGAATAGGCAGAGATCAGATTCTGAAAGTCTCATTGAAATGCTCCTGTGTGTGGTGAGTACAGATGAAGGGCTGAGTGGGAATGGCAGGCTTCTAACCTGACCTACTAAGGCTTGTCTGGGATACCAGCTGCTAGGGTTGACTGGAGTCCAAAGAGTTGGACTGAGAGAAAAGGAAATCCCAGGGGCCAGGACTGGCCTTTTAATTTTTTTTTATTTCTGCATCTTAGAATAGCAGAACTTACAATTGGCATGTTCTACACTTTCCTTGTGTGCTGTTTCTTGCTCTTCAGCTTTGTAGCCAACACAGCTTTCTTCAATGTTTCTGCTAACTGATTTTGTGTTTACCCTAGAATTAGCTCTTGCAAGGTGGTGTCTCCCCTTTCAAACTTTAGGCAGAAAACATTTCCTTCTACATGTACCAAATATAGCAGTGTAGAGTATGAACACTATTTTTAAAATTACCACTGGTATGATGAAAAAAGAACAAAATACTGTATGCATACAACTGCCACACAACTATAACACAATCAAAATAATAGCCATGGAATCACCTCCTAAATCTACGTATGTGACACAGATTGAGCATACAAGCTATTGAAATTTTACGCAAAGTTTGAGGCTATTTTCAATGGATTTAGTGTAGTGAAATGAATACACAACTAGAATGATGAACAAGTTATTTGTGGGGAAAAAATCTCATTCAATTGACACAAGATGACTTAGTAATTTAGAATGTAGTACAGTACTTGATTATTTCATTCATTTTTATGAAGATTAATTTAATATTTGGAAAATTATCTTGATACATGTACACCTTAATTTCAAAACATGGATAATAAATCCCAGTGCCAAGGAATGAGTTTTGAGACGAGTTTCATGTTGTGCTGTAGGAGGAAACCGTGTGCTGCCATTAACCATGTGACTTACTAGAGGAGCACACAGATGAGGTAATAAAAGGGTGGCATGACTAAAGACATATATGGATGTAGGCAGTGAACTACATCATTAGCCAGGTCCACTTTTGGGCATGGCTAGGGGCGTTACAGAGGAAGGTATAAAAGACTGAACAGCGGAAGTCTAGCTCTCTTTTTCCGGTTTTCCAACTTCTAGTTCGGTGGCGGAAGACTACTTGGCTCATCTCGGTTACTTGTTTGTCTCTTGTGAGTAATTTCGACAGTAAATACTTATTTTTACTTTCAGTAAGTGTGCCGTTTATTGTTGCAGCATCATTTTACTTTATTCATAGATCTCCCAGGATTATTTCTTTTGATTGCTTCTTTAT